GAACTGACGTTGTCTGCTTAGTTGAACATGGACTTGTCGACTGGATTGGATCGATGCTCTGCGATTGTGCGTGAGTTGAAACTAGAAGACAAGCGACTATTAAAGCCAGCTGGGAGAGGGCCCAGAATTGGGGGATTAAAAAATGGGGAGATAAAAGTAAAGTTGGAGCGGGACTATAAGGATGAAAATGTGCAAGAAGAGAGGTAAGAAGACGGGAATGTTTGCGCAGTAGCATCCATACCCCTATCTACCCTGCTCGATGCAGCAGATAGGGCTCCGTTGATAATCCTCTGCGGCGGCCAGAGCATCAAGCAATTATTACAAGAATGCTTCATTGTATCGCGTGGGCAGAATACTGTCAGGTTGCACAGACCTAAACAGGATAACGATTAGGATTCTCAACCGAAGCCTTTGGTTCAAAAATCTTACCGCAATGTAGCGAGTTTTGTCACTGGACTACAGAGAGCCCGTTTTATGAAATAAGGAGCCACCCTCACTCCAACCCCGAACATGGAGGGCCAGGAGGTTGAGTTTGTCTGGCCTCTAACCATTGACGAATCTGGTATGAGTGGCTCTGAATTTGCAAAAAAGCACCATCCGGCATAGCTCAATGGATGACTGATGCACACAGAGCATCGCTCCACGTTAAGCTCTAGTCACTGTCCATGGAAAATCCTTGTACAGTCATGTTAATGACCTACGTAAAGTGCAAGGCGGAATTCCAGCACTGATCACGACTGACGGGTGCACGCGATCAGCAACGTAAGCGGCCGATCTCTTAAGTTTCCGCTACTCACATACGTTCCCGTGAGTAACGGGCCCAACACTTATCCCTGTTTCTGTTTGTCTTTTAGCAGCTTCCCTTCATACCATTCTTAAAAGTATTTAAACAGACATGTTTCAATGCATACAAATCTTTCTTGGCACGTCTTTGGAGTTCTTCCAGTCCTGGGCTGAAGGATTCAACTGTGACACAACATATTCTGTCGACAGCGTTCTAAACAAATATGTCAATCTCGTTTGAGCTATTGCAGTGTACTTCATTAGCAGCAATTGTTTAAGTTGTTTTCACGGAGACTAAACATCCAAACCGAACCCACAACAACAGTTTACGGCCATCCGTTGACGTCATAGCAGAATCAATTACAGAACTTGTTTCCGATAAATAGACTGACTGGAGTAACCTTCGAAACGTAGTTCCGAAAATACGAAGATATTTTTCGAGTGGAAAAGGGTGACCAAGCTTATGCTTGAAAAGTTCATTCGTTATTGAGAAGACTTGGTGCAGTTGAAATATGAGTGATACACAAATTTCGTGTTGCAAAAGAATGCATGCGACTTCAATATTGTTGAAACTCTGAAAAGGCTGACGACATTTTTCGGTTAGCAGTCATCGTTGTTCGGCACCCGGTCTAACTGTTTACAACTGATCAAACGGGATACTCATGCTTTTTTTACACACGCCGGAATCGTGAACTGAGAATGTTGACGGTTCAAACTGGGATCCATGACAGCTGATCAGTTCAAAAGCCTCGTATTTGTTTGTCGTCTTCAATCGCATACCCATGGTGATGTGAGAACACGCATCATTCACAAGTTAGAGCAGCAACCCCAGTTGACATTGCAAAAGATCGCGTGTAATCTCAGAGATTGATCAACTTGAAACATGATACCAAAATGATTGAAAACGCTTACCCAAGACTAGAACCACAAATTTGCTGCACGGCTGTACAAAGTCAATATGGGAGTCATAATGTACCGAACTACAAGCCCCAGATTGCATGCTGGAACTGTGGCGGATGGCATTTTACACGATTCTGTGGCTACAAAAAGCACCATTGTCAGAAGTGCAAGCGTATGGGTCGCAAAGAAACGCAGTCACGCGGCGTACCATTCCAGGAACGTGCACAACCTAAGGTTTTACACGAACTCCAAATTCAAAAGGACGCTGATTTTCGGAGCGAGAACAAAGACCATTCTCGCAGCCTTTCGGACAGATTTTTCAAGTAAGCGAAGGTATTTGACAGTAAATCTCAATGATGTTCCGATATCTTTGTAGTTGGATACATCGTCTGATATTGCGACATTTCGCGAACAATGTGGATGAAAATTGGTAGACCTGCAATTAAACCCATTAGGCTGACAGCCCAAAATGCATCCGGCGAACCACTGGAGCTGGACGGAGAGATTGATTGCGATGTGAAACTCGACACGCGCATTCACGGAACCATCTATCTGCTTACCTATGTCGATATTAACCTTTTTGGAATGGATTGGATTGACAGACTGAACTTGCTCGACATGCCACTAAATCGTGTGTTTACAAACCATAATGCGTCGGTCCGCCACACAATTGTATCGACATATCCAGTTCAAAGCCTTGCTGACCAACTTTACGCAAAATACGCTTGTGTTTTTCGATCCGCACTTAAACTCTGCAGAAAAATGCAAGCAAAACTTACGCTGCGTCTTGAAGCGAAATCAGTGTTTCGACTTAGCCGTCCGGTTCCATACACGTCACAACTTGTGGAACAGGAACTTAATCGTTTACAACAAGCCGGTGTGATTGAAGGAATCGCTTTCTTTCAGTGGGCTGCCCCATCGTTGTGCTCAGGAAACCAAATGGCACTATTCGTCTGTGTGCCGATTTCTCAACCGGCTCGAATGCCGCGCTGGAACCTCATCAATATCCACTTTCGCTGTCTGAAGACATGTTTGCATAGCTGAATGGAGACAGATATTTTGCTACGCTTGATCGAGCACATGCTTAGTTGCAGCTAGGGGTTGGACCGGCAAGCAGAAAGCTTCTCACAATAAACATGCATCGTGAATTATATCAATACAACCGTCTGCCGTTTGGGGTCAATACAACACCCGCCATTTTTCATCAAGTCATAGATACTTTGCTGAGTGGGGTACCGGGAGCAGTGGCCTATCTGGACGACATCATCATAATGAGCGTGAGAAAATATGAGTTAATCCGTCTGGACGCAGTCATGCTAAGAGTTAATGATTATCGATTCTATTCGACATGATAACTGCAAGTTATTCACTAAGTTAATCAAGTTTCTGGGGTTTGTGCTCGATCAGGATGGCCCAAGACCGGATCCAGAAAACTTCAAGGTGATAAATCGTCTGCCTGCGCCAACGGATCTTAAAACATTGAGATCATTCCTGGGAATGGTGAGTCATTACAGTGAATTTTTGTCATACGTGCATTGTCTACGCCAACCCATGAATCAGTTACCAGCAAAGGATGTCGAATGGAAATGGTCCAGACAATGTCAGCAAGCGTTTACAAAGTTGAAATCACTTCTGAGATTCGACATCCTACTGACAAATTACTATCCGGTACTTGAAATCATTGTGTCAACGGATGCCTCTAGTTATGGGATTGAAGTAGTCATCTCACTTCGCTTCCCGAACGGTTCTGTTAAAGCGGTGGCGCACGCTTCAAGAGCACTAACAGCATCCGAAAAGAACTACAGCCAAATAGAAAAAGAGGCATTGGCTATCGTGTTTGCTGTTCAGAAGTTTCATAAGATGCTATACGGACGACGCTTCACACTCGTGACAGATCACAAACCGCTACTTGCAATCTTTGATTCGAAAAGCGTATCCCAGTTTATACAGCCAGTTGACCTCAAGGATGGGAAATTTTACTCTTAAGATATGACATCAACATGAAATATGTGTCAACCAATTAGTAATTGGGGTCGGGATGGGGTAAGAGAAAAAGGTGGAAAAGAAAGAAGGGAGGCGCCAGCAGTAGCATGTTTTCGCTTATCCGCCGTGCTGTATGCAGCAGATAAGGCAACCCTTGGTAATCTGCGCGACGGCCGATGCAGGATGAAGTTTATGTTTGAAGAAAATGTCATGGTTGTATGTGGGCTGAGATACTGCCAGGGCGCTCAAACCTAGACAGGAGGACGATTAAGGTCCTCATCCAAAGCCTTTGGCTCAAAAGCCTGACCGTAAGACAGCGGAGAGGTGGCAATGATTTAGTTTTACAGAAACGGACGGCATTCCATTTCAAACCCCCAAGGTGGAGGACCAGGGGACTGAGTTTGTCTGACCTCTCACCATTGACCAACCTGGTAGGAATAGCTCTCAAGGTTCCCAGAGGCATCACCCAGTATAGCTCAATGGGTCAATGAGGTACGCGAACCGTCGCACCACGTTAAGGTCCAGTCTCGTTGCAACCAGTTAACATGCAGCGGGAAATGAATTCACTGACGACCAAACTGGGTGCCGTTGGTCCATCTCGCCTTCCAGGCTGGAGTCCACGTGACTCACCTTCTGCTTGACTCGAGACTTTACAGGATCTGGCTCGCAGTAGACACCAGTGGCGTGTCTGTTGCCGTCTCCTAATCGGATTGCTTGTTTAAAGTGTGTTTAGTGCTGAGTTATCTGCGGGGTAATGGCTGATTATGACGCGTGGCAGTGAAAGCCGCAAGGAAGATGTCTCGCCGATGCCGCCTTATCTTTGCACGATAGCCAGCTGTTTGTGACGGAATGTTGTCTACACAAGGTGTAAGCGCCTTGACCCTGAATGCTTGCTAAAGGCGTTACGGTTTCCAGATGAGTGCCCCTTCTCTCCCTCTTAGTATTTTTTATTTCATAGGTCTTCATGGTTGTAGGGCAGCGAGGCATCAGTTCAAATGGCTGATGTACTGTTGTTGTTGCTGTTGTTGTTGTGGTTGATGATGATGATGATGATGATGATGATGATGATGATGATGATGATGATGATGATGATGATGATGATGATGATGATGATGATGATGATGATGATGATGATGATGATGATGATGATGATGATGATGATGATGATGATGATGATGATGATGATGATGATGATGATGATGATGATGATGATGATGATGATGATGATGATGATGATGATGATGATGATGATGATGATGATGATGATGATGATGATGATGATGATGATGATGATGATGATGATGATGATGATGATGATGATGATGATGATGATGATGATTGATGATGATGATGATGATGATGATGATGATGATGATGATGATGATGATGATGATGATGATGATGATGATGATGATGATGATGATGATGATGATGATGATGATGATGATGATGATGATGATGATGATGATGATGATGATGATGATGATGATGATGATGATGATGATGATGATGATGATGATGATGATGATGATGATGATGATGATGATGATGATGATGATGATGATGATGATGATGATGATGATGATGATGATGATGATGATGATGATGATGATGATGATGATGATGATGATGATGATGATGATGATGATGATGATGATGATGATGATGATGATGATGATGATGATGATGATGATGATGATGATGATGATGATGATGATGATGATGATGATGATGATGATGATGATGATGATGATGATGATGATGATGATGATGATGATGATGATGATGATGATGATGATGATGATGATGATGATGATGATGATGATGATGATGATGATGATGATGATGATGATGATGATGATGATGATGATGATGATGATGATGATGATGATGATGATGATGATGATGATGATGATGATGATGATGATGATGATGATGATGATGATGATGATGATGATGATGATGATGATGATGATGATGATGATGATGATGATGATGATGATCAGGTGCATACTCAGTTTTGTTAAAGCCGAACCATTTGTGCATGAACATGTAAACTCGAGTACCACACCGTCCAACGGGAAAAATATAAAGAACCTTGAACTACTGGTTACAATGTGCAGTAGTAAAGTATACAGACTCGAGAATATTAGAATTCACACTCCCTCAGCGTCTTTGGCCTCCTCGCTGAATTTTTCGTCCAAAGTCTGCTCTAATAGACAAACTTGTCGTACGTCTCTCCGTAATGTTCCTTTGTTTGTACGTATCAGAACTTCCCGGACCAGTCCATCGCGCCCAGCCTTTGCTTCTTCTATTATGCCCTTTGGCCACAGTCCTCTTGGCGTGCGTACATCGGCGATTAGAACAAGATCACCTCTCCGTAAACTGCGCCTCTTTGTGTGCCACTTTGACGAAACTGCAAAATCGGCAAATAACAAGTTAACCTCCTTTTCCAAAATTCATCGGACAGCTGCTGCACTTGCCGCCATTGTCTCGTCAGCCTGTGGGGAATTCGTGCCTGCTCTGGGTCCAGTGCCCTGTCTGCTGTAAAGGTCAATAATTTGCTGGGCGAATAACACCGAACTCATCGGGGTGACCGGGATTGGGTACCAAGGGTCGCTGGTTATAGTATTCTTTCCACCTCCACTAAGGTTGTCTGAAGAATTTCATCGGTAACAAGCCGATTACCGAGTATCACTCTAAGGACTTCGTCCGTATTGAACGGATCAGCCGTTCCCACGCTCCTCCATGATGACTTCGCATAGGGCGGATTGAATAGTCATCGCGAATTCGCAGTTCCTAGTCGTTCAATATTCGGGCTCAATTTATCATTGAATTCCATGTCGTATTATAACCGTCTCAGATTCACCTTTCAGCTCCACGGAAGTTCTGTGCATTGTCACTGTACACTCGCAGCGGTACGCCACGTCGCGAGACAATGCTTGAGAAGGCGCACAAGAAAGAATCTGTATCTATAGCGTGCGTTATTTCTATGTGTACCGCTCTTACTGAGAGGCAAGTAAATATACAACCGTACCGTTTCCCCGTTGTTCGTTTTTCCTTCACCAGTAGTGGTCCAAAATAGTCAACCCCAACAGCCGTAAACGCCGGTTGGTATGCCATACAACGATCCTCTATGAGAGGGGCCATCTGTTGTTCACAAGGCTGAGCCTTCCATATCATGCAGCGTGCACATGCCTTCAGGACCTTGCGGACTGCTGAAACACCATGCAAAATCCAATAGCGCTGACGCAGTTCAGAAAGGACGTGAGACACGCCGACGTGACCGTTTCTCTCGTGGCAATCTAAGATAATTAGTCTAGTCACGTAATGTTGGGCAGGTAGCAGGACAGGATGCCTAGCGTCACACGGCAATGGTGCCCAATTCAGTCTGCCACCAACTCGTAGGATGCCGTTAATCAAAAATGGGCAGAGTCCCTTCAACGAACAGTTGGAACGTTTCAAACATCTAACTGCTTCTTTCTGTCGGTTCGCTCCCAGTACTTTAATCTCTTCCGCGAAGGAGATCTGTTGCACGTTTCTCCCTATCTCCACTTCGGCCTCGTTTAGTTCAGATAACGTCGAACGACCATCAGTCGGGTTATTCAGACCTCTTCCGCATCTTTTCAGCAAGTACCGTTTATATCTGAGTAATGTGGCTACACATCGTTTGATTTTGGCCCAGCTATTACATCGCGAACCTGTCTAACCAAGTGTTCGTTAATATTGCACTATGGACTGTAACATGCTCCTTCTTCAGCCACTCATTCGGGATTTCGCTAACAATTTCCGGAAGTTTGGGCCAATGGACTTCTTTGAGGCGTAAGAAATAGGCTCTTTTAAGCCATGTCCCCATTTGAACTCCATCACACACCCGTAATCCGCGAGAGGCTATGTCGGCTGGATTCGCAGGTGTTTCGACGGATCTCCACTGCTTCGGGTCAGAGAACTGATGTATCTCGGACAGTCTGTTCGTGATGAAAGTTGTAAATCTCTTGGTCGTGCACCGGATCAACTGCAGCACCACCATCGAGTCAGTCCAAAATATCAGAGGTTTGTCTAGCTGCAACTCCTCAACTGCTTGAACGGCTAACCGGACGGCAAGGACCGCGGCGGTTAATTCTAGTCGCGGTATTGTAACTGTTCTTATCGGCGATACACGCGACTTTCCCACAATGAGAGTAGACCAAATCCGATTATTTCGGCTAACAATCCTGACGTAAACTGCCGCACCGTACTGAAGCACCGTTCTGAAGCGTCTGAGAAACAATGCAGCCGCATGTCGTCGTCAGTGCATGGCTTCGGTCTAACACACCGAGGAATCCTCAGTCGCTCTAGTAGCTGGGTGTCCCGCAGGAAGCAATACCATTCCTCCCGTTCCGGTCCGTCTACCTGTATATCCCAAGCAAATCCTCTTCGTACGAAGGATTGCAACAGCTGCTTGGCACGCAACAGTACCGGTGCTATCAGACCTAGTGGGTCATAAATCGCGGCGATGAAAGACAGAATCGATCTTCGAGTGCAATCCCCTTCGAACTTTCTCAGGCTAAATGTTATACAATCGTCTGACAAGTGCCATTTTAGTCCCAACGTAGGTTGTACATTCTCGGACTGTAAAGTCAACTGGACTGATTCGTTAGCAGACGCACTCGTTGTCATTTGTTGCCGAATTTGATAATCGTTACACTTCCATTTCCGCAAGTGAAACCCACCCTTGGATGCAATCGCTTCAACTTGTGTAATGAGGAGACTAGCTTCTTCCCGGCTACCACAGCTAAACAGGCAATCGTCGACATAGAAACACCGCTGCATCAGGTCAGCGTCGACTCCGGATACTCAGTTCTGCAATCTTCTATGGTCCTTCTGAGTGCAAATGACGCGCAGCATGGCGAGGAGGTTGCACCGAAGGGAGGGACCGTCATGTGGAACGCTTTCGGTGATTCGTGCAATCGGCCATTTGGCCACCACAAGAAACGAAAATAGTCTCTATATTTCGGTGTCACCATTACCTGGTGAAACATGGCTTCTATATCGGCAGTTACCGCCACTTTGTCCATTCTGAATCTCAGTAAAACGCCAACCAGACGGTTCACTAAGTCGGGCTTTTTCAACAATTGTTGGTTTAATGAAGTACCCTGGTAGGTGCTGGCACAGTCGAAAACGACACGGACTTTCCCGGGCTTGTTGGGGTGCGTCACAGTATGATGTAGCATATACCAAACACCTTTTTTTATCACCAAGCGGTCCTAGGTCAATCCTTTCCACAAACCCACTAGACGCGTACTCTTCAACGGCAGCTGTGTACATCTGATGTAACTCTGGGTTGGCAACGAGCCTTTTGCGCAATGACATCAGTCTTCGGTAAGAGACAGGATAGTTGTTTGGCAAATTTAGGCATGCGCTTTTCCAGGGTAAATTGAGTTGATAATGTGAACCACATTTAACGATAGATGACTCCGTCTGCTCTAATGCGCGTTTATCCTCAACAGACATTCCGCGCCTTGAGCTACATGACTCAGTGAATTCCAGCTCATACATTCTTTCAAGAAAGCTTGAAGTAGAGTCTTCTACACTGGTTGAGTTGGTGTAAATGTTCGTTACGCCTCTCCTCCCAACCGGACCGAGCAGAATCCAACCTAACGGTGTTCGTATGGCAAAGGGGTCGGACGGTTTTCCATACCGATGCTCAAGCACCCAGTGGGCTTCCGGGACATTCATGCCAATAAGCATTCCGACTCCTTCATCACAACCGTCGATAAACGGTAGGTCTTTTAAGTGTTCCCAACTGCGCAGGCGCTCTGGCTCCGGTATTATCCTCTGTACCTTAGGCATCCTTTTGACGGCCCACGCGTGATCCACATGCAGTGGTTTACCTCCTTCCAGCGGTTGCAACTCCAGGCGTACAACTTGCGAGCACATCGTTGAATCACCGTTAACCGTTGCTATTTGTACCACTGACGGTCTGGCTGGTAAGTCAAGCCTTTGCAACAGCTGTTCATCGACCAGTGACGAATCAGATCCTGGATCAAGTAAAGCATTGGTCACCAGTGACTTGGTTTTTCCACGCAGCAGAATTGGAATAATCCCTAAAGCCATTCGACCCCACGACACATTCGTTTCGTTTACCACAGCTCTTGGTGAAGTTAGTTGGTTCGTCTTGGCTTCGTGTAGTAAAGGATGATGTTTCAACTGGCAACCGTTGAATCCGCACGTGACTCGGGATCTGCAAACCTCAGACGTGTGGTTAGCTTTGAGGCACAGTTCACATAGACACTTTCCAAAAACGAGCAGCAAGCGTTCGGAATGACCAAAGGCTTGGAATCGAGGGCACTGATCAAGGTAATGGTGCGCTGTTCACGCGACACACGAGGGCGCGCGTCTCTGAGTCTGCGGCACTGCTCCTCCGGTTGCCAAGGTAGTTATGCGATTGTCACGGCTTTGAGGTCTTTCTGCCTTGTAGGGTCCTTCAGTCCTTCTAGTGATTTCATTCGAGTACATAGCCTGAGTAGTAACAACCTCAGCCACGTCACAAACAAACTGGTACAGGTATTTAAAGGCGGGCTCTCTACAAGTGCGGAGGATACTGGTAGCTTTCTTGGACCAATCGAGCTGAAGTGAGTAAGGCAGTCGCCTAATCACCGCCGACACCGTCACAGTCGCGTTCAGATCGGCCTCGTAATTTAGTTGTTGCAGCGTATTTAAGCAAGTTTTCATCTGCCCGGCTAATCTGTGGAGCGCTTCCGAATCATTCGCCTTGATCGATGGTCCTTTGACTAGACTTTCGATGTAAGCTCTGGCAATCAAGTGAGGGCGGCCGAACTTCAATTTGAGCGTCTCTATGGCATCAAGAAAACCCTCTTCCGGATCCAATATAACACAACTCTCAATAGCCTCGCTTGCCTGGCCTTCACAGTAATTAATCAGATATGAAAGTCTCACACAAGGGTTAGAAGTAATACTCATGACATTGGCTTGGAAACTTCGTATAAACAACCAACATTTCATCGGATCCTCGTCGAAACGTACA